CAAAATCCCTGGGGGCCGTGGAGGAGTGGCGGCCTGAGGACCTGCAGACCAGCAGGAGCGCTGTGTTGGGGAGCATCAGAGCCTCCCAAAGTGCTTCAACGTCATCCTTGGGCAAACATGGCCCAGGTGATGTGGTTTGTCTCAGGCCACCGGCCACGTGTGCATGCTCAGCCGGTGGACTGGAGGCCGGGCCCTGAGACCCATGCCAGGCATACTCTACCTAGGTCCTCGTCGGCCGGCCCCTCGAAGCCGAGGCCCGGCTGGGCCAAATCTCCACCTTCTTCCTCTGCAAGACAGAAACAAAGTCGTTCTTAGCATGGGCCGTGTGCAGCAGCGGAGGACACCACCCAGGCCAGGCACGCTGCGGGCGCCTTCCCGACCCCAGACACTTCTGCCTCCATTCCAGTGTCACTGCAGAGAATGCAGCATTTTGTGCCCATGACCTGAGCAACTCCAGACAGGCTGGTGTCCATCCGGGCACCAGCTTGGGCGCACGGCAGTGACCTCCGCTCCAGGGGGTGTGGCACTGCCGGCGAGCTCTGCTCCCAGGTTAGCTTCCGGAGCCTTAGACCATGATGTCTCAGCAACCGGCCGCTGTGTGCCGGCCCGGCCTGTCTGCCTGGTTTCCTGTGTCGGGAAAGCTGGACTGTGCTCTGTGCCTTGCCTCTCCGTGACCCACACACGCGTGTCCCACGGCCTCTGCCCGGCACCTGCTGCGGGGAGGCTGCTCAGGTCCCTGGGCTCCTGACCGGCGTTCACCCTGAGCCCAGCACGGCAGGCGCTGCTGCCTGGCGGCCCGGTGTGGCATTGGCACTGATCTGACGGGGCTGGTGCACAGAGGTGCTTTTATCCAGCCACCCCGGGGAGCTGGGCCCAGGGAGGTTTGTGATGGGCCCAGCGCAGGGCTGGCGGGCATGCTCCCCTCTGCCTGGAGATCTTTGGGCAGTGGGGACGAAGTGACCCCTGCCACATGGCTCCCTGGACACAGGATGGAACCCAGGGCAGACCAAACCGTCATTCCCTCAGCCAATACATGCGCACACCAGGTACCAGCAGTGCCCAGGAACCTGAGCTCATGTACACTGCTCAAACCACAGGTGCTCAGGCGACAACACTGCTGACAACGTGGACAGAGCACGCAGGGGGCAAGGCTGCGCAGAGACAGCGTGAGCCTCGCGGGCGGAACACACTTGGTGATCCCCACGCCGGGCCAGCCTGGGTTTATGTGTAGAAATGACCCGCTACCGAACTTAGGGCCGGATGGAGTTGGTGCCAGCCTGGCAAGAGGCTCAAGGGGGGCAGCGCCTTGCAGCGGAGACGCTACAGCGTGGGTGGAAGGAGGCTGCACCGGGGGCCAGGGAGGAGGCTGCACCGGAGGCCTGCCTCGCACCACTGGAGGCCAGGGAGGAGGCTGCACCGGAGGCCTGCCTCGCACCACCGGGGGCCAGGGAGGAGGCTGCACCGGAGGCCTGCCTCGCCCCACCGGGGGCCAGGGAGGAGGCTGCACCGGAGGCCAGGGAGGAGGCTGCACCGGGGGCCAGGGAGGAGGCTGCACCGGAGGCCTGCCTCGCACCACCGGGGGCCAGGGAGGAGGCTGCACCGGAGGCCTGCCTTGCACCACCGGGGGCCAGGGAGGAGGCTGCACCGGAGGCCTGCCTCGCACCACCGGAGGCCAGGGAGGAGGCTGCAACGGAGGCCTGCCTCGCACCACCGGGGGCCAGGGAGGAGGCTGCACCGGAGGCCTGCCTCGCACCACCGGAGGCCAGGGAGGAGGCTGCACCCGAGGCCTGCCTCGCACCACCGGGGGCCAGGGAGGAGGCTGCACCGGAGGCCTGCCTCGCACCACCGGGGGCCAGGGAGGAGGCTGCACCGGAGGCCTGCCTCGCACCACCGGGGGCCAGGGAGCTTGCTCCGTGTGCATTTGGCATGCTCACTTTGAAGGCTGGGCCGCGCCCTCCCACCCAGCGTTTCTAGCAGCTGCTCTCCAGAGCCGTGGTCGCATCTCGGGCGAGAGGCCCGTGCAGGCTGACGCCGTGGAGAGTGAGCAGTCAGTGCCCCGTGCCCTGCCCGCGTCTCTCCGGCGGTGCCGAGGGGAGAGGGGCAGATGGGTGCATGACACGCGAACTTGGCCAGGGCAGCGATGCCGGGGACCCGAGCCCCTCCTACGCCTGAACCTGCTCCGCTCGTGTTACGGGGACCCCCAGCCACCACGTGAAGTACATGCTGCGCGGCCTCAGGAGTGGACTGTGGGGGCGGGGGGCGGTCCTCAGGAGTGGGCTGTGGGGGCGGGGGGGCCCTTGAGCCCTGCCCTTGCCTCAGAGGCCTCCGCTCACCCTCTACTTCCTGTTGTTCAAACCCAGCAGCGCGGAGCCGGAGGGGCAGACACCGAGGGGGCCTGCGAGGGGCCCGTGTGGCCTTTCCCTCCTCAGGACGCTGGGACGGCCGGGCAGCAGACGCCACTGGGGCGGTGTAGACGTGACAGGGCCGTGCTGACCGCAGGACGCCGGTCCTCAGCACGGCAGCGTTCAGGTGTGTGACCTGGGCAGGACTCGGACATCCTCCCCCTCAGCGCCCTCCCTCTCGATGCCCTCCCCTCTCCCCAACTCTCCCTCCCCACTCTCCCTGCTGCATCCGCTGCCTGGTTACAGCCCCGTGGCAGTGGAGCCAGCTGGCCACAGGCCGAAAACCCTGACACGGAGCCAGAACAAAGCCTCCCTCTTCGCTCTCTCCGGAATTTGGACACAGCAACAGGAAGCTGACCATTACAGCTCAGCGGGTCTGTTTCCTGCTTCTTGGTGGCTTCCCTGACCAGGCGCTTTTGGAAAGATAGTGAGCAGGGTGTCCCAGTCACTGCCCCACGCGGGGGCTTCCTGTCCCGTCACTGCCCCACGCGGGGGCTTCCTGTCCCGGTCACTGCCCCACGCGGGGAACTTCCTGTCCCGGTCACTGCCCCACGCAGGGGAACTTCCTGTTCCGTCACTGCCCCACACGGGAGCTTCCTGTCCCGTCACTGCCCCACGCGGGGGCTTCCTGTCCCGTCACTGCCCCACGCGGGGGCTTCCTGTCCCGGTCACTGCCCCACGCAGGGGAACTTCCTGTCCCGGTCACTGCCCCACGCAGGGGAACTTCCTGTCCCGGTCACTGCCCCACGCGGGGGAACTTCCTGTCCCGTCACTGCCCCACGCAGGCGAACTTCCTGTCCCGGTCACTGCCCCACGCAGGGGAACTTCCTGTCCCGGTCACTGCCCCACGCGGGGGCTTCCTGTCCCGTCACTGCCCCACACGGGAACTTCCTGTCCCGGTCACTGCCCCACGCGGGGGAACTTCCTATCCTGTCACTGCCCCACGCAGGGGCACTTCCTGTCCCGTCACTGCCCCACGCGGGGGAACTTCCTGTCCCGGTCACTGCCCCACGCAGGGGCTTCCTGTCCCGGTCACTGACCCACGCGGGAACTTCCTGCCCCGGTCACTGCCCCACACGGGGAACTTCCTGTCCCGCACTGCCCCACGCGGGAACTTCCTGTCCCGTCACTGCCCCACGCGGGGGCTTCCTGTCCCGTCACTGCCCCACGCGGGAACTTCCTGTCCCGTCACTGCCCCACGCAGGAACTTCCTGTCCCGGTCACTGCCCCACGCCGGGGACTTCCTGTCCCAGTCACTGCCCCACGCGGGGGAACTTCCTGTCCCGTCACTGCCCCACGCGGGGGAACTTCCTGTCCCGGTCACTGCCCCACGCGGGGGCACTTCCTGTCCCGTCACTGCCCCACACAGGAGCTTCCTGTCCCGGTCACTGCCCCACGCAGGAGCTTCCTGTCCCGTCACTGCCCCACGCGGGGGCACTTCCTGTCCCGGTCACTGCCCCACGCGGGGGAACTTCCTGTCCCGTCACTGCCCCACACAGGAGCTTCCTGTCCCGGTCACTGCCCCACGCAGGAGCTTCCTGTCCCGGTCACTGCCCCACGCAGGAGCTTCCTGTCCCGGTCACTGCCCCACGCGGGGGAACTTCCTGTCCCGGTCACTGCCCCACGCGGGGGCACTTCCTGTCCCGGTCACTGCCCCACACAGGAGCTTCCTGTCCCGTCACTGCCCCACGCGGGGGAACTTCCTGTCCCGGTCACTGCCCCACGCGGGGGCACTTCCTGTCCCGGTCACTGCCCCACGCAGGAACTTCCTGTCCCGTCACTGCCCCACGCGGGGGAACTTCCTGTCCCGGTCACTGCCCCACGCGGGGGCACTTCCTGTCCCGGTCACTGCCCCACACGGGAACTTCCTGTCCCGTCACTGCCCCACGTGGGGGAGCTTCCTGTCCCGGTCACTGCCCCACACGGGAACTTCCTGTCCCGTCACTGCCCCACGCCGGGGAACTTCCTGTCCCGTCACTGCCCCACGCCGGGGAACTTCCTGTCCCGTCACTGCCCCGTGCAGGAGCAGGCTTCCTGTGCTGGTCACTGCCCCACGCGGGGGCTTCCTGTGCTGGTCACTGCCCCACGCCGGGGCTTCCTGTCCCGTCACTGCCCCACACAGGAGCTTCCTGTCCCGGTCCCTGCCCCACGCGGGGGCTTCCTGTCCCGGTCCCTGCCCCACGTGGGGGCTTCCTGTCCCGTCACTGCCCCGTGCAGGAGCAGGCTTCCTGTGCTGGTCGTTGTACCCGCTGCAGAGGACTGGAAGCTGGCACGGACACTGGAGCTCTGATTGCCTTGTCTTCCGCCAAATTCTGTGTTCCCCGGCTCTCTTTCCACCTTCTCGCATTCTCTAGAAGCTTACTCTAAGGAAAGTGCATCCAGTCTACATTCTGGCTGCTGCTCTAATGACAGGATTGAAGGCTGCCTGAATTAAGGGCTCATCGGGCTGGCTAGGACAATGGCACTGATGAGTCTTAATGCGGGCTTCCTCTCTGCTCTCAGCCACAGCTGCACACTGCCTGCAGCCAGCCGCAGCGCTAATCAGAACTGGCGGCTTTCCTTTGAAAACACAGAAATGCTCCTAATTCTATTTTGGACGATGGAGTGAGTCTCAGCAGAACCTGCCCCTAAAGTCTGCAGAATGTCATTGGCACTTCAATGTCATCGAAACCAGGCTGAGCGGAAAAGCCAAGGCCCAGGGGGGGTGGCGCCTCTCCCAGACGCAGTGGCAGCCACGCCACACCCTGCCACGCCACGCCCTGCCAACTGCTCCCGGATCCCTCCCCACCCAGACCCCAGCTTCAAATCAAGTTAAGGTCACCACAGTGCGTTCACATGCTTCCAAAAGAATCCTTTCCTTTGTGGCCCTTGGATTTGAACTCAG